ATCTATCTATCTATCTATCTATATCGATCTATCTATCTATCTATCTATCTATCTATCTATCTATCTATCCTATCTCTATAATCTCTATCTATCTATCTATCTATCTATCTATCTATCTATCTATCTATCTATCTATCTATCTATCTATCTATCTATCGATCTATCTATCTGTATATCGATCTATCTATCTATCTATCTATCTATCTATCCTATCTATCTATCTATCTATCTATCTATCTATCTATCTATCTTCTATCTATCTATCTATCTATCTGTCTATCTATCTATCTATCTATCTATCTATCTATCTATCTATCTATCTATCTATCTATCTATCTATCTATCTATCTATCTATCTATCTATCTATCTATGTCTATCTATCTATCTATCTATCTATCTATCTATCTATCTATATCTATCTATCTATCTATCTATCTATCTATCTATCTATCTATCTATCTATCTATCTATCTATCTATGCTATCTATCTATCTATCTATCTATCTATCTGTCTATCTGTCTATCTGTCTGTCTATCTGTCAGTCTGTCTGTCTGTCTATCCGTATGTCCGTATGTCCGTATGTCTGTCTATCCGTCTGTCTATATGTCCACCTACTTATCTGTCTGTCTAGATAGATAGTGAGATAATGATATAGGCAGATGGGATAAAGAAGAGCCAATAAATAAGTGAGAGAGTCAATCAACGATTGTATGTCATCAGAAAATTAAGAAATATCAGAATGGAGTATTAAAAATTGGCACATTGCGAAATATATATATCTCTCTCTATCTCTCTTCTCTCTCTCTCTCTCTCTCTCTCTCTCTCTCTCTGACTCCTCTCTTTCTATCTCTCTCTCTGTCTCATCTCTCTGTCTCCGCTGTCTTCTTTTTCTGTCTGCCTACCACTCTCTCCCTCCCTCACATTGTGTGTTATATATCACTGAATGCATAGGTAACCAACTTGTTGTAACACCTAAGTGACTCCATGGCAATAAAGTCACGTACGACTAGACGTCTGACAAACGCAATGTTCTGTCTACCAGACAGGTAAACAGTGTGAGCAGGTGTGAGAACGCAACTTCTGTGGTTTTATGTCCATCGTATTTTGCAAACAATGTCGACCCTCTACAATACAGCATTAGTGTAAATGAGAAGTTCCTCAAGCAAGTTGGTAGTGACAAGTACTTGTGTACCGCGATTACAGCAGACGGAAAATATAGTAAATAAGTTAAATGTAGCATTTTACAAATTAAAAGATAGGTACATCTCACATTTTGGGGCCCAGAAGGAGAGTGACTTACCTTTCCATTCATATGTTTGTTGTTTTAGTATTCAGAAGCCATGAGTTGTTAACCCTTAGGCTCGGTATTATGGATATCACAACCTTTCGGCCTATATTCCATTGTAAATACCGTAAATCTGGGAGAAATGTGGCTTTTCTGTCTACCCCCGGGATTGAACCCGGACCACAAGGAGTTCGTCACCCGGTCTCTGCGCAATCCGGTTTAGTCAACTACGCTAGAGAACCGGGCTTTCCATTCATAAATCTTGTGCGATGTTGTGGGGGTGTCACGCTTAGTGGCCAGCCAACAACCCGTAGCATTGAACTACTTGTTGTCACCGCCCGGTGATATCGCATGTTCTATATTAGAGGATGTGAGCGCTTTTAACGGTCCTGAAATATGCAGAACTGACCCCAACCCCAACCCCCCTACGTCCCACGAAAGAGTGCAGCCTAGGTATCCCGACTGTATGCAGCGTAGCTAGTCACCCCCGCAAAATAGGACAAGCCGTGCGACACTGCGATTTATTTATTGGAAGGGAAGTTACTTTCTTTCTTTTTTGTTATCCGAGGTGAGAAGGATTATTGCCCGGCTCTCTAGCGTAGTTGGCTAAACCGGATTGAGCGGAGACCGGGTGATGAACTCCTTATAGTCCGGGTTCAATCCCGGGGGTAGGCAGGAAAGCCACATTTTCTCTCAGATTTACGGTATTTACAATGGAATCAAGTCCTAAAGGTTGCGATATCCATAATACCGAGCCTAAGGGTTAACAACTCAAAGCTTCTAGATACTAAAACAAACAAACAGAAGGATAATTCTGAAGAATTGTATACATCTTTTCCTCACTTACGGAAGTGTATAATGGACAGTCAGTTGATTGGTGAAAAATTATGTGGAAGCGACACAGATGCTGGTTTATAGAAATATGAGCAGAACACAGTGGTCATATAAAAAGAGTAATAAAGATTTCTTTAAAGATATTTTCTCAAATATGACTATGTCTCCGCGAAACGGATAGGCAAAGAATGACAAAGTCGTGCAAAGCACCAGCTCAGTCGCTCAGCCGACAATCCCGAGCAATCCCTGAAATGAAAAACAAAACATAGGAGGGAAGAAATAAAGAATGAAAGAAAAAAGGAGCCAAAAAGGAAGGAAGAAAAATGGAAGACTAGAAACAAACAGCGCGACTTTGTCGGCAAATTTAGCTTTGGCGACAATCCCCGAACAAACTCATGAAAAATGATAGGGTGAAGAAGGAACGAAAGAAAGAAGGAAAGAAAGAAGGAAAGAAAGAAAGTAGAAAGAAAGATAGAAAGACAGAAGAAAAGAACGAAAAAAAAGAGAGAAAAAAAAGAAAAAGAAAGAAAAGAAAGAAGAAAGAAAGATAGAAAGAAGAAAGAAAGAAAGAAAGAAAGAAAGAAAGAAAGAAAGAAAGAAAGAAAGAAAGAAAGAAAGAAAGAAAGAAAAGAAAGAAAGAAACTAAAGAAAGAAAGAAAAGAAAGAAGAAAAAAGAAGAAAGAAAAGAAACGAAAGAAAGAAAGAAAAGAAAGAAAGAAACTAAAGAAAGAAAAGAAAAAGAAAAGAAAGAAGAAAGAAAGAAAGAAAAGAAAGAAAGAAAGAAAGAAAAGAAAGAAAGAAAGAAGAAAGAAAAGAAAGAAAGAAAGAAAGAAAGAAAGAAGAAGAAAGAAAAAAGAAAGAAAGAAAAGAAAGAAAGAAGAAGAAGAAAAGAAAGAAAGAAAGAAAGAAAGAAAGAAAGAAACGAAAGAAAGAAAAGAAGAAAGAAAGAAAGAAAGAAAGAAAGAAAGAAGAAGAAAGAAAGAAAGAAAGAAGAAAGAAAGAAAGAAAGAAAGAAAGAAAGAAAGAAAGAAAGAAAAGAAAGAAGAAAGAAAGAAAGAAAGAAAGAAAGAAAGAAAAAGAAGAGAAAGAAAGAAAGAAAAAGAAAAAGAAAAGAAAGAAAGAAAGAAAGAAAGAAAGAAGAAAGAAAGAAAGAAAAAAAAAAAGAAAGAGAAGAAAGAAACGAAAGAAAGAAAGAAAGAAAGAAAAAAGAAAGAAAAGAAGAAGAAGAGAAGAGAAAGAAAGAAAGAAAGAAACGAAGAAGAAGAAAGAAAGAAAAGAAAGAAAGAAGAACGAAAGAAGAAGAAGAAAGAAAGAAAAGAAAGAGACGAAGAACGAAAGAAAGAAAGAAAGAAGAAGAAAGAAAAAAGAAAGAAAGAAAGAAAGAAAGAAAGGAAGAAAGAAAGAAAGAAAGAAAGAAAGAAAGAAAAGAAAGAAAGAAAGAAAGAAAAGAAAGAAAGAAAAGAAAGAAAGAAAGAAAGAAAGAAGAAGAAAAGAAAGAAGAGAAAAGAAAAAAGAAAGAAGAAAGGAAAAGAAAGAAAAAGAAAAAAAAGAAAGAAAGAGAAACGAAAGAAAGAAACGAAAGAAGAAACGAAAGAAGAAAAGAAGAAGAAAGAAAGAAGAAAGAAGAAAGAAAGAAAGAAAGAAAGAAAGAAGAAGAAGAAGAAGAAAGAAGAAGAAAGAAAGAAGGAAAGAAAAGAAAGAAAGAAAGAAAGAAAGAAAAGAAAGAAAGAGAAGAAGAAAGAAAGAAAGAAAGAAAGAAAGAAAGAAAAAAGAAAGAAAGAAAGAAAGAAAAGAAGAAGAAAGAAAGAAAAAGAAAGAAAGAAGAAAAGAAAGAAAAAGAAAGAAGAAAAGAAGAAAGAAAGAAAGAAAGAAAGAAGAAACGAAAAAAAGAAAAGAGAAAGAAAGAAAGAAACGAAAGAAAGAAACGAAGAAAGAAACGAAAGAAAAGAAACGAAAGAAAGAAAGAAAAGAAAAAGAAAGAAAGAAAAAGAAGAAAGAAACGAAAGAAGAAACGAAAGAAAGAAAAGAAAAGAAAGAAAAAGAAACGAAGAAAGAAAGAAAGAAAGAAAGAAAAGAAAGAAAGAAAAAAAAAAAAGAAAAAGAAGAAAAGAAAGAAAGAAAGAAAGAAAGAAAGAAAGAAAGAAAGAAAGAAAGAAAAGAAAAAGAAAAGAAAAGAAAAGAAAGAAAGAAAGAAAGAAAGAAGAAAGAAATCAAAGAAAGAAAGAAACGAAAAGAAAGAAAGAAAGAAAGAAACGAAAGAAAGAAAACGAAAGAAAGAAACGAAAAGAAAGAAAGAAAGAAAGAAGAAAAAAGAAATGAAAGGAAAAGAAAGAAAGAAAAAAAGAAAAGAAAGAAAGAAAGAAAGAAAGAAAGAAAGAAAGAAAGAAAAGAAAGATAAGAAAGAAAAAGAAGAAAAGAAAGAAAGAAAAAGAAAAGAAGGAAAGAAGAAAGAAGAAAGAAAGAAAGAAAGAAAGAAGGAAAGAAGGAAAGAAGGAAAGAAAGAAAGAGAAAGAAAGAAAGAAAGAAAGAAGGAAAGAAAGAAAGAGAAAGAAAGAAACAACAAAATTGTAAAAAGACCCCCCAAACAGATGAAAGCACTAGATAAATAGAGATGCAGCACAAAGTTTACCTATGTATTATTTCGCACAACGTGTTATATCATACAATGTACGTGTGTTATGTCATGCAGGGTTCATACGGGTGATCTTATACAATGTTCGTGTGCCTGTCTCAAAAGAACGTGTTCATGACACTCACAACTGTGTTATTGATTGACGTACTCCTTATCATCAATATAAATATGACCACATCCACACCTTCCAGGCATTTCTGTTAGTTTATCTAGTCATTTCTGCTCCTGGTCAGTGCTTGGACCAAACATGGGCGTTCTTCAGAAATTCGGCCAAATGACCAGGACAGCATCTATTGCTGTTCTGCTGTTGTGCTTGTTGTGGCAGAAATGCGAGTTTGCAGCTCTTGAAGGTACGTCTCGAGCGAATACAGTCAAACTTCTTTTATGTGTATTATATATTAATAAAGTAGCAGAAAATGTAATTGATAGGCACTCATAGAAAGAAGTACAAAGATAGAAGAACACAAGGCAACATTAAAAAAATCGAAAGCTATAGTTACCGTGCCAGGAATCGAACCTGTCACCTCCAGACTGCATGTGCGCCTCGCTGTGGAAACAAGTGCACTAACTACATGGTCAACTTGGCACACCCCCCCCCCTCCACCCCCACCTCCCCAAAAAATGTGTCTTATTGGCCATGTCTATCTTACAGCTTGAAAACCAAAATTCATATCAAAACATTGAAATTGCACTGTGGGTTACAGAAATTTATATTAATGAAGCATAGATCTAATAATAAGCACAGCAACAATTTACGAACACAGTAGACCTCAATGCTGTGTCCAGAATACACAAACATTTAAGAATGGTATTTAATTGGTAGGTTCCGGTGTGTATACGTCATTCATATTTTTGGTGTGTTCCATCATCATCATGCAGCAGATCCTTCCCAGAACGTCGCTCTCATCACAGTCTGCATGAAAGAAACTCGGTCTCTCGCCAGTTCTCCCGCCTCAAGCACTTTTACACTCAAGGAGTCACTTTTATCCTGTGCCTATCTTTGTGTCGGTCGGCCCCTGCCCCTCCTTCCTGGTATCATGCCTTCTGCTATATTTTTGTCCAATCCGTCGTGGCGCTTGATGTGACCAAAATACATGTATGTGTAACCCATGATGTTAGTGAATAACCTCCGTGTGCGTTTATTACCGGCAAGAGGGAACGGGGATTGAATTTAGTGCCATCAAGGAAGCATGTCCGTCTATCAATTCATCAAAATAAAACAACAAATCCACCACTTTCAACCTCCTGCGAGAAGTATCAGCTGTAACTATGGTGTGGTTTCTTGGTGCCAAATATGTAGGCTTAAAAAACCAAAACGAGTGATTCGAACCGGTACATTAGTACCCGGTGATGTTTGTTAGCGGTAGACAACGACTAATTAGGGATGTGTCCTTCCAAGTGGCAATGCATCTGCTTGAGAATCGAGGACCAGTAGTCTATATACGAACAACCTAGATCTGTAAAACGGATGTGCACGCAAAATTCACGTTCTGGAACAAGGCTTAGGTACAGAAGTGAACGAACAGTCAAAACTTTCCGGCGAGGTTTTCAGCCAGCGAACGCTAAGACAAATAAGCCATCAAACTTGGCTTGTATACTCAATTCTGAGTCAAAAGGAGCTCAGCACAGTGCACAGGCTCTGTAGCACCGGCGGGGATCCTGAAATACTTTGGGTAGATTTTTATTTCTAAATTAAGCCCGGATAGCTACTTTTGTTTTGGATTTCCAACTGCCAAATGATTTTTTACGTGCTTAACAATGCACACGGGCGTCCAATCTCACTACCCAGAGACCAGAGGGAATTACTAGAAGTCCAAGTCTACGTAAAAAATTACAGCCCTTACAGGGGATTGAACCCTGAACCTCTAGCACTCGAGGCGGACACCATGCCTCGAGACCACGCAGCCCCCAAGAAAAAAGTAATTATGTCCATCAGTATTTCCTATTAATTTCAATCTTCTCCAATGAATTACGGCCCACTACGGCATAACAGGAAAAAAAAAAAAAAAATTCCGGAACCGACCGTCAAAGAAAAAATGCAAAAGAGAAACAACACACTTATTAATTGTCATTTATCATCATCATCATTGGCATATTTCCGTCTTTCCAGACGATAGTGTTATATTGCGCTATGAGGAGACATGAGACTCACAGCCCATGGCGATGGCGAGTATGACTAGCAAGACCCGCCCGTGTCAAGAAAAGTGTTTCACAATGATAGCATGTGA